CCCTCAAAAACCCCATGGTGGCTATCCCTCTGGATGTTGCCATCAGCCAGTCCATTAAGAATGGCCTGTTTGATAATCTTTTCTAAGACCTACCCTGGGATAGAGGTCAGGCTGATGGGCCTGTAGTTTGCCAGATCCATCTTCCTCCCTTTCTTGAAGATAGGCACCACATTGGCATTCTTCCAATCATTGGGCACTTCACCAGAGCACCAGGAGCTCTTGAAGATCCATTCCAGGGGCTGAGTTATGATGCTGGCCAGCTCCTTGAGTTCTGGGGTGTAAATTGTCAGGGCCAGCTGACTTGAAGGTGTCCAGCCTCTCAAGGTGTTCCTTCATGAGGTCAGCATTGATGGAGGGCAAGGAATCACCCTCACCTGGGCGTCCCTGTCTCATAATGGGCAGGGGCATCCCATGGGACTTGTGAAAGACCAATGCAAAGTACCCATTTAGTAAGTTGGCTTTTTCCTGGGCGTCAGTCATCAGTTGTCCCTTCTGGTTTAACAGGGGTCCAATTGCCCTTGCTTTTTCTCTGGCTACCCACATATCTAAAAAAGGACTTTTTATTGTCTTGATACTTGTAGCCAGTTGGAGTTCCATCGCAGCCTTGGCTTTCCTGGTTCGCTCCCTGTAGGTCTGGACCAGTGCAGTATATTCCTCCTTGGAGGTGAATCCCATCCTCCAACCTTTGTAGGTCTTTCTTTTTAGATGCAGGAGGTCCACTAGTTCCTTGTTGAGCCAAGGGGGCTGCTTTGCCCTTTTGCTGCCTTTCCTCCAAGATGGAATAGCCATAGCTTATGCATCTAGGATCACTCCCTTGAGGAGTAACCACTCTTCCTGGACTCCCCTCCCCTTGAGGTAATGATCCCTTAGGGCCTCACTGACAAGCTTCCTAAGCTTGTCAAAGTCAGCCCTCCTGAAGTTGAGTACCTCTGTACTGCTGATTTGCCAGCTTTTCAGCAGATGGTGAAGGTGATCAGCTCTTGGTCGCTGTCACCCAGCTTCCCTTTGATCGTTAGGTCACTGATTAGGTCATCCCTGGTTGCCAGTCCCAGGTCGAGCAGTGCTTTACCTCTTGTTGGCCCATAGACTTCTTGAATCAGATACAGCTCATCCATGCATGTGAGGAAGCTTTGCGACCGTTTGGAATTGGCCGAGCGCTCTTCCCACAAGAAGTCTGGGTAGTTGAAGTCTCCCATGGCAACCATGGACCAGGAGCATGTGGCCTCAGCCAATTCCCTGGTGAACTCCTGGTCAAGCTTTTGATTCTGGGAGGGAGGTCTGTAGTGGACTCCCACCATTGTATCCCCTGTGACATGTTCCCCATGGATTTTAACCCAGAGGGTCTCTAGTCATCCACCCTGGGTGCCAATGTCAGCTTGTAGGGATGTGTAGCTCTCCTTAACATAGAGAGCTACACCCCCGCCCCTTTTGTCCACTCGATCCCTCCTGTACAGGGTATAGCCATCTACCAGCCGTCAGGAATTGCAGGTTCAGAATTCAACTGGATTTGTTATATTGACATAAATGATAAACCCAAAGGCTACAGTCCAGAAATGTAGTGTAAAAGTGGTAGAACCAGGTGTGCCCTCCAAAAGTAAGGTGCACAAAGTTAGACCTATCTTATATCAAGAGATACTGAAACGGATTTCTAAAGAGCAACTCAAGGTGTGACCATGATGCATTGCCATTTACCTTATATTAGAATATCATTAGATTAGACTGACTTTTTTATATTTATTCACCACATAATAAGTTGAAATGATCCTACAACTAATTTAAAACTGGCTCTCTAGCTCATTTAAATTGAGACAACATTTAACATTCTAGACTAGTAAGAAGATTTCAAACACCTATATTCATAAATAAAAGAAACCAAATTCCACATGTCTAATTCATCTTATAGTACCTGGAAGCAGTATTAGCAGCAGGGTATTGCCAAGGAATGATGTAACCACCTCGGATGTGAAGGTTGATATGTTCAAGAGGAGCTGGAAAATCATTGAATTGTCCCCTTAAGCCAATATACTTTTCCTATTAAAAAATGACTTCAGTTCAGTTACTTATTAAAAGCAGTTACGTATAATGAAAGAAGAATCGGATCATAAATTCACCAGTTACTTTTTACCACAGAAATATTGGTTCATGTTTATTATTATACATTTACAAGTCTTTTTTGCTACAATGGTACCTGTGTAATATTTTTAAGACAAGGTAAGAAAATAAAATTCTGCATTCATAAAACAGTTTGAAACTAGTGGGCAGGAAATGATCGAAAGTGAGGCAACTGAATGACAAAGTAATGATAAATAGTGTTGTTTTTGGGGGTTGGGGGAGGTTCTTCCTCCTACTTTGCATCTGCCTTCCACAGGGAGAATTACATTGCTCCGATGATCCCTTCCTACTTCTCCTCTCTCATAATAAACAGCAGGTAGACCATTCAAGTTGTGAAAAGCATCAAAAATGGTTATGACATAAACATCTTTAAAAGTTTATAAGATTTATGACTTTCATCTGCTTTAACTCATCATTAATATCACTGTATGAAACCTATTTAAATTAAAGTGGGCACGTCTACACAAGATGCTGACTGCACAGTAGCCGAATGATATTGCACAGTAGCACATCATAGCATGGACAGTGCTTATGTTTCTGCACAGTATTGTTAGGCTACTTCATAGTAGCATAACTTAAAAGATGTATGCCAATTACTGTGCATTTATTTAGTACTTATACTAGATTTTGTTGGGAAATTGCTCAAGACAATAAGATATATCATGGTATCATGAATTCAGATTTACACACCTGAATTAATAATTTGAAGAGAAGTTAGCCTGTTCTGAAGTTTCCTACCTCCACATACACAACTCCTCCTTTATCTTAATGCTTCTGTAATGGAATTTAATGACTTGAAACCCCTTCTCCTATTTTGACTTCCAGGGGAATAGCATTCATTTCCAAATGTATGCTATTCCCCTCCCCCCCAACCCCAAACAAAAACAAAAAAGAACAGATGAAAAAAGCAAAGCTCCTCTCCCTTCACCCCCCCCCCCCCCCCCACCCACATCCACTGTTTTTAAAATCTGCCATGGATACTATCCTATCTCTACCCGACTTCTTGTTCTTCTTCCTCTATTAATTATTCAACTCTCCCCTATCCATCCTCCATGACAATTTTGGAGTAGGTGTCTTCGGATTCTTATTGTTAACATCCCAGTCACATGCTGCATATTTCTTGCCATTAGTAATTACCTTCCTATTTCATGGATTCTGTTTCTTATTTTAAGTCTCAGCTGAGAATATTGCACTACTAAGAGTAACAGATTATTCTAATAGTGTTTTACCATTAGGAAGAAGGTCAAGATTTTAAAAATCATTTACTGTGTAAAATCATACCAGCGTGCATTGAGTATATAAGGTCATACTGATGTAGCATTCTGGAATTTAAATACATACGTGTTATGTACATTAAAGAAAAAAGCAAACAGAAGTGAAGTGAAGGAAAAATGTTTTTAAAAGTCCACTCATCTGTATCATGTCTAGATATATAAATTAGATTATTACACTTGATCTGAGCCTTCAAGAGGTCAAGAAGCAGAGCCAATATAGGGCTGAGTAGTGCTGGTCCCCACAAAAATTGTTTGTACACATTCCATGTTGTTTTGTCTTCCACAAACCTTAAACGAGTGAAATCATAATTATGCACATAGTATTCAACTTATAACTGTTTTTTTTTTCTAAAGAGAGATAGATTGTATAATTGTATATATTTTCCTTTTCCTCTTAATTTATAAATTCTTAATATATAAATATATACATGTTATAAATTCTCATAATGATTCAAAATACTCATTCAAATGATTGATACTGAGTATATCTTATAAACATAATATATTTTTCCTTAAAAAATTAATACATGTTGAAAATGTATAAATATCCTTATACAAAAGGCAATGATAGAAATACAACTATTATTTATTTTGTTACTTACATTGTTTTTCACTCAGTTTAGATCATAAAACTAGCAAGATCTTTTTTCTTGGCAGTTTCACTGTTAGGTTTCCAGACATGGGAAGAGTAATATTAATTAACAGCCACAGTGAAAACCCCTTAATCACTTTTTTACACAGTGACTCACATAATTAGTTCCACTGAAGTCAACCAAAGCAAGATAATGCTCAGCAAAGGGAATAATATGACCTCAAACTAAGCAAACTATTTTTAAACCTATAAAAGTTTGGATGAGGTGTGATTTGGGGAATAAATTTGAAGTCAGTTCTTATTTTATTCAGTCTGGTTGATCATCTCCAAAGGATTCAATGGAAACATTCATCTATCTCATCACTAAAGCAATTTTAAAAACACAAGATATAGAACTATTGAAGCAAACTGGCCTTTAGTCCTAAATAAGAAACAACGAAAAATGATTCTGTTACTATGTTTTTCATAAAGCTGGAATTGGAAGGCTGCTAGTGGAGGATGCAGTGACTAAATCCCCACTTATTTCCTCTTATTCAATAGAACTACAGTAGTTTTGTTTTTAAAAAAATAATAATTTTGTGTAGAGAAAATGGATGTTTCCACTAATCAATTGGAAAGATGAAAAACAAACAAACAAAATCCTCCCCAAAACACCCAGATATTAAGGGACAGGTTGCTCTCTATTAAGTCTAAAAGCTAAAAAGTGATCACCCCTTTTCTTACTTGGGGATAAGGAGGTCAAGATTTTCTTACATCTGAAACTCAATAAAGGTCAACATTTTTTTCACACATCTGTGACTGAAATTGCTAAAATTCTGAATAGGAAAAAGTATTCTTCAACATTTAGTTCCAGATTATGTCTTTTAGAGCAGAGAAGAATCACTGCAGTAATAACATTAGGAATGACTGTGCCAGAAAATGGGAAAACTGGAGTTCACTAGTACTTTTAATATACACTTAGGGCCAGTTTCTGCCCCACCTATTAGGCACTTAAGTATATGTAGGCAGACTTATTCCATCCTGTTGAAAAGAGATATGAGTGGGTCCTCCTCTTCACTGCTTTCTGTGACTTAGTTTTAAAGCTAAGATAATAAGATGTAATAAAAATAGAAACATTAATGGATATTCAGGAACATTAAGAGGATGGAATAGGTTCACAATTAGGTGCTTAATAGTCTATTCCAGCCATTATTATTTAGTTTCCTTTTCTAAATGATTGATGTACTTTTGTGATGTCCATCATGAAGGCAAATTTTTCAAGTATGGTGGAGACCAATATAAATTAGTCTAAATCCCTCTAAGGGCAGTCGTTTATGCTTATGGTTTGAGGTTAGATTGCATATGTAAATGTAGAGTTGCAAGTTAGATACCTACATGATTAGTTTAAATGAATACAACAGCATCAACAGGCAGAGTATAGACAAACTAATAAATTATAGAAAGTTAAAAGGGGATGGGGACTTATCACCCAGTTGTAATGTCTGTGTTCCTGCCCTTACACCATGTGTAAATTAAAAGTTCACAGCAGTACCTTTCCCCCTCAAAAATGGAGCTAAGGGGCACTTGTACACATGACGAAATTTGCCCTTTTTTTGCTTTTCAGCGGTGTTACAGTTTGCACATGCAAGTTTTCCTGACATTTTAAAAGTCTTTCTGGTGTTTTAAAGTAAAACTCATTCCGATGTAGTTTAGTTTGGGTCACCACAAATTGAAATGTTGTGTCCACTGAATCATCACATGCAAACAGAAATGGACGCAAAGATGTGTAATAAGCCCTGCTCTGTCCACCAGATGGCACTGTTACTTGTGCAGTTCACTTCTGGTCACCAGGGGTGCCTGTAGATGTGCAGGACCCCTATTCTGATTCACTGTAATTACAGTACATCAGAACAGACTCAATTAATCCAGGGTGCTAATTAGCATGCTCCAGCACCCTTGACAACTCATGTATTCAGAGTGTTCCCATGCTTTAAAATGGCAGCAGTGCCAAAGATAGGGGGCAACTTAACTAAAGGTATTTTGACAAGCTTTAGATAAAGTGCCTGTGCTGCTCTCCCCCCACCCCCCTGAGAGCACAGGTAAATACACCCAGTGAAATTTACCCTGGAGTAACTGATGCATGGCAAGTCCTTCCCCCTCTTTCTGTTCACTGTTATTTGGTCATTTTCTCAAGTTAAGTTAACTGAATTGTTTTTAAGTCAAATCTTTTGAACACTGGTGGCTTTTTGTTTACAGCAGGCTTAGTGTTTAGATATCTAACATGAGAAATCTTTAAAAGCCTGATTTTAAGAAAGTACAGAGCTTCCATCCTTTGAAAATCAAGCCTGTTTAAGGCATTTTAGCAGAGGCACCCAAAACATAAGCCTCCAAATTAAAGATTATTTAATAATAAATGACAAATAACTGCTAGAAAAGAAAGCATTAAGTAGATGGTGCACTGAACAGAAAATTGCTATATAGAGAGACATATTTTGTGCCAGGTTTGCAACAATTTAGCTCCGGCAGAAATCTCTGTTTCTCTACCCCAACTTCAGCTTGAGATAGGGATATGTAGCTAGGGACTAAAAAGGAGAACAATTCCTGTTTAAATCAGAGAAATCTCCCATTGACTCAAATATTGGAACAGAGACTTTAAAAATTAGTATGCACATCAGTAGCATAACTAGGGTAGAACAAGGGTAGCACTCATCCTAGGTGCTATGAGGGGGAGACAAGATCCTACCCCTCCCCCCACTGGGGATTATTTTCTATGGCAGGAGATGTCTGTGCTGGCCCTGTCCAGCTGTAGGAGTCAGGCAGCAAAGTCCCACATTCAGCAATGTATCTGGGAGTGAAGGTTGTGAGTGGGGTAAATAGTGACATGGGGACACAGGTGGTTTTCTCTTTTATTCTTCCAGTGACCAGATGCGGATGGTGCCATGAGGCATGCATCAGTGAGGTAAACCAGCAGCTTAGGAGCTGGTGTTACCAGGCAGGCCTTCGGTTCTTGGACCATGACCCACATTTCCGCACAGAGGACATGCTCAGGATGGATGGGCTTCATCTCTCCCCAAAAGGTAAACGTGTTTTTTCTTCTAGGCTGCCTGATCTTGTATGGTGAGCTTTAAACTAGGTTCACCGGGCGACGGGGATGCAGAGGAACATGAGGACACTTTGCCATCAAGCCAGGCCAAGTAGTAGCCAGGTATGTGACAGGGGCCAGGGCAGGCTTAGGAACAAGGGGGTGGCACATGCACTTACAGGAGGCCTCAAATGCCTCTACACAAATGCTCAAAGCATGGAGAATAATTAGGAGGAACTCGCCCTCCTGCTAACTAGCAAAAACCCAGACCTAGTGGGACTCATGGAAACCTTGTGGGTTTGTACCCATGACTGGGCAGTGGACATGGAGGATACAGGCTGCACAGGCAGGACAGAGCAGGGAAAAAAGGGGAGGGGGTGTAGCACTATACATCACAGAGCAATGCACGTCCTCAATGGTCAGGATGGGTTCAGAAGAGGGGATAACTGAGGCACTCTGGGTTAGAATGCAAGGGGATCATGGGGAAAGGGACTTGATAGTCAGCATCTACTACAGACTGCCTCACCAGGGGGGTGAGCTGGACCTGGAATTCTCAGGTCAGCTCACAGAGGCTGTAAAGTCAAGGGATGTGGTTGTCGTGGGTGACCTAAACTACCCAGACATCTGCTGGGAGGAGCAGTCAGCCACTTACATGGTCAAGGGGCAGTGGGTCAGGCCCTACAAAGAGAGGCTGAAGGGCCTGAATCTATTCAGCCTCCACAAGAGAAGGCTGAGAGGGGATCTGGTGGCTGTTCACAAACTCACCAAGGGGGACCAGCAGGCATTGGGTGAGGCTCTGTTCCCCTGGGCACCACCAAGGGTTACTAGGAATAACAGCCACAAATTGTTAGAGAGAAGGTTCAGGCTGGACATCAGGAGACATTACTTTACAATTAGGGTTGTCAGGCTCTGGAATGGATTCCCAAAGGAGGCGGTGCTCTCTCCTCCTCCCTCTCGCCTTGAGGGTCTTCAAGAGGAGGTTGGATAGCTATTTGGCTGGGGTGTTATGACCCTGCACTCGTTCCTGCCTGGGGCAGGGGGTCAGACCTGATGATCTCTTTAGGTTCCGTCTGACCCTAAACACTATGAAACTATGACAAATATAGTTTTGCAGAGGGTGGCAGCTTTCTGGAGCTAGAGCTATTGATGACTCAAGCAGTGGGATTTAGCATCAAATAGTTCACATCTCCATTCTTTTCTAGGTTTATAAAGAATAATCTCAACAATCTAGAGAAACTGTTCCTTTAAAAATAAGATGATTAGAGCAGTCTTGGGATAATTTTAAAAAAATCATGATTTTTTGCGTAAAGCAATGTCCAATTGAGGAAAACACTCATACTTACTCATGGAGTACAGGACGAACTACAGTGATACCATGGACATGGGCTTCATACATTAATGTGTAGAGATAAGGTGACAATGTGTATCTTCTATTGAGTATATTCCTGGAAATGTTTTGAAATCTGTCATCCAAGGCAACAGGATCTTGCCTCTAAAAAGGACAAGGATTGATATTATTCAAACTGGTAGAATTGATTCTGAAAAACTGGAAAAAAATGGCTTGAGGCAATTGTTAATATTTTCTGAAGATTAAAATGAATGTTTGGCACCTCCGCACCATATAACATGTTTTATGTAGATCCACATCACTTGTGCAGCAGTTGCAGCAATTATTGAACATATTAATAAAAAATGGTGGTGAGAGTATGACAATATGGATAATGACTCCTAAACTGAGATTAGGGTTGGGCATTTGACAGGTCAAATAATACTTGGTCAATTGACTGATCAAATATTGGTCAAAAATTGTAAGACAAAATGCCAATAGGTCCAAATAATACACAGAAAAAGTACAAATTTTCTATCAAGAAATGTGTCAAAAAACAATTTAAAATATTTCTGTCAAAAAAACTACAAAAAATGTAGGGTTTTTTGGTAAAATTTCTACTATCTTTGACCAATCAAAAAGTATGGAGTCAAGTGACAGGTCAACTGACCATATTTGAATGGTCAATTGACCAGTTTGCCAACCCTGAGATGATCTCTGTGGACCTGTGCATTGCAAACTCTTTTCACCCAAAACTGCAGAAGTTCTCTCTCTGAAGGACCAAGTGACAGTTAATAACAACAGGTGTCACTGTGCATTGTCCACATGCATGATCATATAAACTGAAAGTGAAATAATGGCTATATGGCTATATTAGGAATACACTCCCCATCGTCTTCCCCAACATCATTTTGTGATGGTAAATAACATCTCCTAAAGCTACTGTCCAACACTGATATGACCTTATTTGGTGATGTGAGTATCTCTCCACTTCCTGGGTCAGGCACCCTGACTCGCCTGCTATGACTTGATGGAAACGTAATTGAAGGAGGAGGATCAGTGGTGTTCCTGCTCTGTCCTGGAGATAGTAATAGTCACTGGACTGGAGCAGCTGGTCCTGGGGCTCCACCTCCACTACACCCCAGTCCACTCACCAACCATGCGGGCCATCGTGCTGCCATTCCCAATTACTGACTCCAGCCCCTTATGGCCTCCCGTACAGCATTCACCTCATTGGCCTCGGTGGGAAGTGAAGGTTTGTAGTTTCAGCCTGGCACTCATCCCTAATCCTTGGCCTTTCTCTATCCCTTCACCAGGCCTGGAACTGCTGTGCTCTCTGTGGGTTCGAGGATGGCTGCAACAATCCAGAGCTCACAGGGTGGTGACAGAGCCCAAAACCTCTTCTCAGGGAGCTCTGTGCGGGAAGCCTGTTCTGCCTCCCATATGCTGCTCCCACTTACCTCCAACAGGTCAGCATCATGGGGAACTCACACTGGCTGGAATGCACCTTGGTGAGCTCTGCATATCACCCCGTTCATTCCACCTGTACCTGGCTTCTGCCGGGGGTTTTAAATCTCCCACAGTGGTGGTTGCAGCTGATATCATTTGCTGGCCACTGCCCAGTCTGATTGATAGATACTTGAAAAGCTGGCACGGTGCTGGCTTGCATGGCTCCAACCCCAGCCCCAGCTCTGGCTCCCTCCCAGGTAAGTTCTCCATGGCACCAGGGTCCCCAGGTCTGCCTTTGGGAGTGTCGGGGTCTGTTCCCAATGCCTCTGACCCCTGTGAGTGTCCCCAGCCACCACAAACAGCATGTAGACAAGAAATGCCTTTTATGTGAATCACTGCTGATTAGCACTTTGAGAAAAAAAGCTGCATTTCTGTATGCACATAAAAATTTGGAGCCATTTCAAAAGAGGAATATTTTTAAAAAACAGTAGCTGTGACATTCTAATGGTCACATGTGGACAAGCCTGGAATGATACAAATGTAGAAAAACTGCTCCAAATTTAACCTGGGATGAAGCAGAATAGTGTGTGTGTTCATACCCTTTGAATCCATTCCTTATTTGAGTGGTCGGCCTTGAAAAACTCTGGTGTGAAATCCTGGCTCCACTTAAATAAGTTGAAAATCTCCCGCTGACCTGAACAGAGCCAGGGTTTCATGGTTCTCCCCATGGCCTCCCCCCCATTTTTCAATACACACAACTCCTTTTAAAGGAAAGTGGATCAAATCTATCTGGCATTTTGAAGCTAGCCTAGGTTGTAGACATGATACTTTTTTTTTTTTCTCTGACAATCCCCATCTACCACCATGGTAGAAAAGCACTTATTCAAGAATTAATGACATAATCATAATAATAAATTATATTTTAAAAAACTTCCTTATCCCTATGTGGCCGTTCTACTCTAGAACTGTTTTTTAAGGCTATAAATTTTCACAGAAGTCCTACTCCTGTTCTAAGTAGCCCCAAGCAGATGCTTGGTGCAAAACAAGTAAAGATAACTTATGACATACCCTTGTTCCTTTGATATTGTGATTTCTAGAATATGGATAAAATGCCCCCAGCTCCATCCAGCGGTCACACATTTCATACTCTGCAGCTTTGAAGAAGCCACAGATATCTGTTCCAGTCTGAAAGCATAAAATGAATTCAATCTGAATGCTGCAGGTTACTACAACTGGGTAAAAATGTTTAAAATATGAAGAATTATTACTAGCTTACATAGGATAGTCCAAAAAAGCTAAACTCCATCATACCTGCAAGGAAAAAATAATGCAACTTTATTGACTGCTATTTTCTTTGGTATTTTAAAGGCTATGTTGAATTCACTTGGTGGGGAAATACAGAAATGAAGGTGCTTTAGAGTTTCTCCAAAGTATAATTCCTCCATTCCTGCAGGCACTGCTGCAAGCTGTCTTTTCAGGAGTAGTCAAGCAGCAGATGAGCAGACAATGAAGCATCACTGGGATGAGATGTTAACAAAGAGATACTCTGTGGGAAAAGAGGAGCTGGGGAGTTGATTTCAGTGGGAGATGGAAATACCCCAATCAGGCCTTATCTCTATTTGGCAACAAACATGGAGTATGGTTCAAGAAAGGAATTAAAGCCAGAATTTTCGCTGCTAAAATCCTTGTTTTACCTAAAATGACATTTCTTTTACTCTAACCCATGTAAAAGAAAGTAAGAACATAACGTGCCATACTGGGCCAGACCAATGGCCCATCTCTGTCAGTGGCAGTAATAGATGCTGTCAAGGGAGAGTATATGAACAGGGCAGCTTGACTGCTCTGTTACACTCTCCCTAGTATCAACCTTAATTGGTTTAGGAATGTCATGGGATACTAGTAAAAGACATAAAAGTGTCAGGAATTTAGTGTAAAGAATAAATCAACTATAAAAGTCTGCTGCTTCCACACACCAATAACAGATTTATAAAGTTGATCCCAAGCTGAACTATTATCACCAAGCCAGTGCCCAGACCATCTTCCACTAGATGAATATGTTGAACGGGTAATGACAATTCCACGCTCACTTGTGATCTTCTGTAAAGCACTAATATAGACAAATAGAACAATAAACCTATTAGATGTGAAAAACAGTATTTTAAAAGATCCTGTGAAAGGCTCCATTTGTAAATGCAAGGTCTTACTTATATTTGTATAGCTAAATTATGACCATCTAATTGTAAATAGGAATAAAAACCTGATTCAAATATTCTCCCACAAGTTATAAGGGTTTGCTTCTGTATTATTGTACAATTTGAAATGATGTACTTGAACATGTTTAAATACTGAGAATAAATGGGAACAGAACTAAAATATTAAAGAGGTAGTGGTAGACAATGGTATTTAACATAAAAACTAGCTACTATATAGGAAATTTGGAGGGTAGCAACATTTACACATGTTTATATAATCCAGATAATTTCATTTCAGTCTTCCATTACTAGATAAGGTGAAAATAAGGTTAAAACATGCAGAAATGTATGGTACTTAACAATACGGCTCTTTGTATCTCAGAAAAATCCTGTGCATCTTCAATCCATTATAATTATTTGAAGGTTTTTAAAAAGTAGATAAAGAGTGGAAGAGTGTAAATATAACATGTTCTCATTTTCAAAAGTCTTGGACATTCTGAGAAACGGAAAGGCAACTCCTTTAGCAGAGATAAACAGGGAAATGTGTGTGGGCTTGCCTGAACATTTCCCTTCTTTCCAGGTTCATAGGCCTGTTACAATGGGTATTTCAGCCTGCTCTCAAGTTGGAGGAACATCCAGCTTTGCCAGACTTTGGCTTTAAAGGAAGGCCCCGTATCCTGAAGTTCCTTCTACTTTAAATGTCTCTACAGTCAAAGGCAGTCGTTTTACATTTCCATGGAGGTGCTTACAGGCCTGGGAAAACAAATAAACAAACAAGAACCAGCACTTTACTTTCAACTCGGTGTGCCCCCTAAACAAAATGCAGCACACGCCCAGAAAAGAAATTGAGTCATTTTGACCCAGATCCCCAGCATCTGTATAGCTTATGTGCTTCAGTGGAGTGTTTTGTCACTTTTATCTAATGGCTGATTGAATCGTGCTTACCTTTTGATTCCATTGGAGTAATTGGTTGTCTTTCTCGAAGAGCCCATGCCACACGCTCTTTGGTAGGTGGCAAGTTATCCCAGGGGTGGGAGGGGAGGCTGAGGCCAGCATTGTGCTGGCCCCAGCAGCCTTACTTGAGGTCTTGGTGTCCTCCCAGGACTTCAGTAGTGGCAATCCTGGTGGGTGGAGACTGGCTGGCAGCTGCAGAGCAGCTCTGAGTGGCCTGGCTCCACTTTTCAGCAGTGCACACTCCCCATGTGTGTGCTGCTCTGTTTTTTTCCCCCACAGGTTTTTATGACCCCTGGATACCCTGGATCTGGTGTGAAGCAGCTCCAGACTGGTAGGGGAAACTGGTGGGGGGCAGGGGGGAGTCAGCCTCTGGTTCCAAGTGACAGAGTTGGGTGGTGGAGGGGCTGGCTGAGGCACAAAGGTGCTGAGAGTGCAGAGCCATGTGGCTAGGCAGCAGGTAGCCCCTGCACTTTAGCACCCTTGTGCCAAAGCTAGCCCCTGTTACCATCTACATATGCATTTCAGCACATGTAATTACTCTGCCATAAGATAGTGTTGTTCTCGCACGTAATTACTCTGCTGCATGTAATTACTCTCCTGTAAGATAGTACTGTCTACTCCATAGTAAAGCACACATGGAGATGCACTTACAACTAACTGGCCCCAGCTAGGTGAAAAACTAAGTTCCCTTAATACAGACTTGGGCAAACTCTTTTTAAAGCTCAGCTTAAAAATTGCATCTACGAGATGTTAGCAATTGTAAAACTTCTGAACTCAAGTTAAGATTATAGTTATATCTACACTGAATTAGAAAGAAATGCTACAGTACACAGAATTCCTTGACCTAGTTTTAATCTAGTTTAGATGCCAATGGTAGTAAATTGGACTTGTGGGTTCTACAGTATTTCCTGACACCCCATGAGCCTACTTGGCAGCTCAAATCTATACTGCCCCAGCACTACTGCAAATAAATTAACCATAGTATCCACGCAATAAACTATGTATCAATAAAAGTGATCAAGTTTCCAACTGAAGACCCTATTACTGATTATCAAACTTGAACCAAAAAAACCTTGACCTCCACCTAAACACGCAGGTTCACTCATTACCTTAACGCATACTAGAAGTAATATGTACGCATATGAGCTACAAATAAAATATTAAAATACTAAGTTACATATAATCGCAATACTCTCGTTATAATGCATTTCAATTAGATGGATAGCTTATTTCAGAGGAACTGACTCAAAATTAAAAGTGACTTTCAAATCTCCCCAAGAGAAGACTCCTATGATCTATGACTCATTTTATCTTTGTCCTGACTTCTCTCTTCCTTCAGTTCTGCCTCCTATCAAAAACTTTTTCTCTTCTCTTCCATAAGTAGCTTAATAGACAAAACACATATTAACATCATGGATGGAATCAGTGACCTTCCAAGTTAAAAGCATAAAAGTCCTTGCAGCCTAAGCTAAAGGACCAGCCCTAAACTTCTGGTCACTGTGCTTCCTGGTAACCACCTCTTCTAATACTGTCTAGTATTACTCAGAGCCGGTTTGAAGGGCAAAGAACCAGGACAGTTGTTTAGACGCTACAGTCCAAAGGGTCCCATTAAACAAAGTTAGGTCATACAAATCATCCTACATGGAGATGGGGAGAAACAAAGAGAGGAGCTGGTGCTTTAGTCTCTGCTTGAGACCCTCATATGTTAGGGGCCAGAAGCACAAGAAACCGTAACGTTTTAATCCAATGATGGCCACCTTAGAAACAATGGGCAGGGGCTGCTCCCCAGCTCTTCTGAGTTCTGGTATCTATCAACCAGATACTCGGACCCTTCCTAAATGAAGGACTATACACACTATTTAAGAGTAAACTAATCAAACAGTTTATTTAAGATCTCAAAACCAGTTACTATAAAACGCCAATACCTTATCCTAAAAGAACATTATACTACATTATATATATATATATGTATATATACACACACACACATAATTGAATTACTTACTATTTACAACACTATGCAACACAGAAGGACATACAGACATAAAACACAGGAAAGAGGGGTGATAGTTACCTATCTGCCTAACAGGCTCCACCTTGAGTGGCACAAACCCACACTAATCAATCTCCCAAGCACTCTCCCAAACAAAAATTCACTCAATCTGCCCCCTTCCAGGTGTTCCAGAATCACTCCAATTGAACCCAAGCATGTCACACTCGAACAGCCCAGTCGAGAGCTCTCACAACCACCTCCCAGGCACACCAATCGAACACTCACTCTGAGGGGAAGATTCATTTTATGCTCCCTCTGCACACCGCACTCACACTTGCACATGACACTCATACAGGTGGCTTCCACACAGCACCCAGGTATTTTCCACACATCACACTAGATTTCTTTGCATAGCACTCCAATCTTTCCAAACAGCACGTTGCTCTCCTTTACTAGCTGGCCACAGGGTCACCTAAAGTTCAAACTAGGTCTGCAGTCTTACACGCAAGTCTAATGTTAGCTTTGGCACCACCTCTTCCAATGTACCATGTGATGATCTATGGGAAGAAGGAAGAACCCAGGATGATGATAGACACAGAGCTGTTCATGTTTAGTTGCAAGACAGGAAGAGAGAGAGAGAGAAGTATTGTTCCCCCACTTCCATCTGAACTAAGGACACTTCATCACCTCTGCTATGAAAGCCTGAGTAAGACAGGTACATAAGAGATTTATGTCTCCAAAGGAGATATTTTTTATTAGGTTTTAGATGCTCCTGGAAAAATTCTAGCTACTTAAGGAAAGGTGTGTCATGGATTGGACAGAATTAGAAAAACACAACTAATATGAACTATCTTTAACTTGTGTCTCATCAGACAGCTGGGCTGATGCAGCCCAGCCCCATCCGTGATGCTGTCTGTTCCCTTCCCTTCTTTCTCCCCACCTCCCATTGTACAGACAGCACCGGAGCTGGGAAGTAGGCGGCAGGGCTAGGGGAGAGAAGCTGTATGTCTGCAGCACCTTAGTTGGATCAGGTTCAAATTGGAACTCGATTCCCCACTCTCCTCACCCAACAGCCAAGATCTGTTGTGTCAGGAGTGTTGGTCTAATGCCTGGCGCTAATGTAACCAGAGTGTCAAAGCTTATTAATGTTGGATCATGCCAATTTTATTTATGACACTTGCTCTTTTGTATTCAACTTCCTGTTTTGCATCCTGAAATTTTTATTTTGTTCCTTATCCTATCTATATTTTTTGTGTGTCAATAAACAGTGTTTCACACAGTAATTATTTGCTTTTGACAATATTCTACACTGTCCTAAACCTGAAATAAGAAACTATCATAGAGGTACAGTTATTATACTTAAAGACAAAAACAGGAAACACTGAAAAAGTGTGTGCTTTTTTTAAATGGCCACTTTCTCTAAACTTTACTATTTAAGAAAAATAATGTAAATCAGAAAAGGAATCCAAAATTTCTTGAGCCTAACATTTTTTCCCCTTTCTCCCAGTATGAGAGCTAGGGAAATACTTATGAAGCAAGTACAAATACAAACCTAGTTCATTTATCCTTATATATACAGCACTGCCATTAAAATGTATTAACTTTTCCACTGCCTGACTCCAATTAACTGTGAACCTATAAGCTGTTTTAGAACTTTTCAGCCTCTCCTTGTGTAAACCTCATGTTAGATGAAGAGCATAATACCAAGAAATAAACTACAGACATGTGTTACATAAAGAAATATATCTGAATCATCATCATCGTCACCTTCACCATAAAGACACGTACACCACAAAGAAAGACACGGTTAGTAGGGGTTTGCAAAGTGGGTCGTATTCTATTTGGATTCAGATTCAGCCCAATTCAGGGCGCCAGTGATTCAATTCATTGTTTTGAATCACTGTCCCAGTTCCATTCAGCTAAATCCAAATCTGAAGATTCGATGCTGATTCAGAGAATCAGTGATTTGGCCATAGACACAGCTTTAAATGTTTTTTCTACATACCTCAAGGTACCAAGCATGACTCGTGAATACTGAGATGGCAGGGTGTATGGAGCATCCCACAGGATTGCTGTGGGGCCCCCCATGTGCTCAGTGGTGGACCTGGAAATGGACCACCCCATGCCCCTCTGGCTCAGCAATCAGACACAGGGGGACCCCAGATGCCACCCCTCTGCGGTGAACCCAGAAATGGACTGGAAGTTCTTTTGGTCCACTTCCAGGTCCACTTCTGAGCACACTGGGGACTCTCCCACACTCCCATGGGACGTTCCATCCACTTCACCATCTCAGCATTCACAAGCTGCCTGGTGCCTTGAGGTAAGTCAAAAAACCATTTAAAGCTGCATCTATGTTCAAATCATCTATTCAGAGGGTTTTGATTCAATTCAGAGAGATTAAAGGGTCTCCTGATTCAATTCAGATTCGGAGATTCAGCCACCTAATCGGGCCAAATCTCCAGCAAATTGAATCAGTGGCCAAAGCTTTGCACAAACTTAATGTTTAGGTCTCATTGCCTCTGGAACCATTCAAAAACCAAGTTGGACCCAAATGTAAAATTGAAGCAGACACATGGATTATATAATTTATTCTAGATGCCAACAGCCCCCTGAAGACAGTTCTAGCAGCTGGAATTCACTAGACACAGGAACTTACCCATGGTCACTATGGGGAAGGGGAAAGGGACAGGCAGTCACTGTAGCTACAGCAAGTCTATACCACCTGGGGATTGCCTAATGAAGGATGAAATTGACCCATCATTACAGTCTGTGCTTTGAAGAATTCCAAGGTAAAGGTATCATGTTGGCTTTACGCTAGCACAGGCTGCAAAATACTATATTTTGGACACAAAGGAAATGGGTAAGCCATATGCCAGTACTAGCTGTGGGTTGGCAGGGAACGTTTAAGGGTGGGAAGAAGTAAGATCAATGCCATAGGACTATGGTTTACCAGCCCCTGGCTAATAGAACCACCAAATACCATTACTAGCCAGAGTAATTTTGAGAAGCTGCAAGCTCTAGATCATTGATTTTCAACCTTTTTTTTTCATTTGTGGATCCTCCCCCCCCCCCCCTTGAATGGAAGTGCAGACAGTTTTCAGTTGCAAGTGTGGGCGTTCACATACTTTTGACTGATCAGAGTCACCTTTCAGAGACCTCTTAGACAGCCTACAGATCTTCAGGGGTCCACAGACCACAAGTTGAAAACCACTGTTTTAGATTGGTCAAATTGGCCTCTATACAATCTGGGCCAGGAAAAGATAGGAATGAAAGTCAGTGATAACAATGTTGTTTCTCTTTCCCAGGCTTTCCCCATGCCCCAGGTACAGTGAGTTCAAAATTAACAGGAGTAAGCACTGGTCTTATATTACCCTGGTAACAAATCTAAGGGCAAATCATTGTTAAACCCAAAGCTACTGGTCAACTATACTCCTTATATTATGAAACAAATCATCCTTGAACTTCGGAACAAACAAAAAGAAGAAAAAAAAGAAAAGAAAGGGTTGTCAATACATGTGGCCAACAAATCTTAAGGCAGGTTACAAATATAAATAGCAGGGCATAGTGGTTAATTTACAATTTATCTTCTCCAGGATGAAGTAAAATATAATACAAATTCTTTGTAAATTTTAGAGAGATAATGTTTATATCTTTGGAATTTTTAAATATGTTTGAACACATCTACTTGTTACTGTTAGTAAAGAAGCATGGGTGTTATTATGAACAAAAAGAATACTACAGAATAAAAAGACTTCAGGTTTTAAAAGAAGGGGGAAGGGAAAGAAAGGGGAAAAAAGTTTTACTTATAGGTAGGTTTAGCCTGTGACCATCCATAGAGATTATGTACATCATAATGTCTAACTGGGCATCCATCTGGCAGGAACTATTGCCCTTCCATGCATGTGGTTTTGAAACTCAGACCAAATGACTGTGTTTCCAAATCTAATGGAAATTAAATTTAAATATTGGTACTGCCAAATAATTAAACACATTTAATAAATAAAATGTGTCACTCTATCAAGCCTTAAAATTTAACTCAATTTCAAGTCTCCTCAACCTCCAAATTCAATGGTTTTTATTTGGTTGATTTTTTGCTGGGTTTTTTTTTTTTTTTTTAAGAATATCCTTTGAATACTAGTGATTTCCAGTGGTTCTGAATACTAATATAGGACTAATGTCAGCTTCCTTAAGCTTGCTGTTCCTTAACCTGCATGAAAATACTCCACATCTTTATAAGCCTCTCTAGTTATCATCCATATGACCTGCAAAATGGAAAATGTCTAAGAATGGGTGCAACTACATGTGCAATTAATGTGATAAAATAAACTTCAGCACAGTTTGTGCTGGAGTACACAGCTCCCAGGCACAGCTTCTCCATGTGTGCCTGGGACAGAAGCACTTTGAGCCAGGGCAAAGCAGCCCTGGGCTTACAGAGGGCAGGGGGGTAGGGATTAGTTCTGGGCTCTGGGGTGGTGGCACTGGCTGGGGCACAAGGGTGCTAATGTTCAGGCCTCAGTGGCAGGCAGCCCCTGCACATTAGCAGCCTTGGGCCCCAATCAGCCCCGTCACCATCTATACATTCATTTCAGCGCAATTAAGTACCCTGCCATAAGATCAGACTGTTCTCAACAGTTCTATCTTATGGCAGAGTTAATTAATTTACTGCACCCTAATACTGGGACACATGTAAATGGTGATGCTTTAATGCAGACCTAATTGGTCAATTCTGCTGTAAAGCACATGTGTAGATGAATTTGGCTACAGTTGTTCACATACTGAGACAGTATGTATGAGATTTGAAAAAAGTAGCAAGCATAAAATAATCTAATAAAAATTAGGTGGCAGGCTGTTCCAGACCTTGGGGGCTCGGACAGTAAAGACGTTCTTCCTTATGTCCAGCTTGAAACGGTCTTGTAGTAGTTTATGACCATTCGACCTAGTCGTCATCCCTTGAGGCGCTCTGGTGAACAAACGTTCCCCCAGATACTGGTGGTCACACCGGATAAACTTATAGGTGGCCATCAGATCGCCCCTGAGCCTGCGCTTTTCCAGGCTAAAGAGCCCCATGGTTCTCAGCCTGTCATCGTAGGGTCTGCTTCCCTGACCTCTGATCATGCGCGTGGCTCTTCTCTGGACTCTCTCAAGCTTCTCCACATCCTTTTTGAATTGTGGAGCCCAAAACTGGATGCAGTACTCCAGCTGCGGCCTCACTAAGGCCGAGTACAAGGGGAGAATGACGTCCCAGGATTTGCTTGAGAAGCATCTATGGATGCAAGCCAGCGTTTTGGTCGCTTTACTAGCCGCCGCATCGCATTGCAGGCTCATGTTCATCTTGTGGTCAATGATGACCCCCAAGTCTCTTTCTTCCATAGTGCTAGCCACCATAGCACTGCCGAGCCTATAAGGATGCTGCGGGTTTTTCTTCCCAAGATGGAGAACCTTTATCGGCGTTGAACACCATCAGATTCTCATCCTCCCATTTTCTGAGCCTGTCCAGGTCAGCCTGGATAACCTGTCTGTCTTCTGGTGTGGATGCTTTGCCCCAAAGTTTGGTGTCATCAGCGAACTTGGCCAGTCCGCTTCTGACTCCAATGTCCACATCATTAATGAAGATGTTGAACAGTATGGGTCCAAGGACAGAGGCTTGGGGACCCCACTGGTCACAGGACACCATGATGAGTGACTTCCATCAATTACTACCCTCTGGGTCCAACCATGGAGCCAATTTTCCAGCCAGTGGATCGTGGAGGACCCAAGGCGACAATTGGCCAGTTTCTCCAAGAGGTGATCATGGGAAACCAGATCGAAGGCTTTTTTGAAGTCAAGATATATGACATCAATCTCTTCTCCCTTGTCCAGGTGATAGGTCACCTGGTCGTAGAAGGAAATGAGATTGGTCAAGTAAGAGAAGGCAACATTCAGAACTTGTTTTTTGTAAGAAAGAAAAGGAATGGGAAATACTGCTTTTGTTTGAAGTCTAACATGCAATGTTATAGTGTGTGTGTGTGTGTGGGGGGGGTTCTGCTCAATTATTAATTGTTATAATCCCATAATAATGACAAATTAAAATGCATCTACCAGTGATCTCAGTGGGGCTTGCTACCAAGATACAGACATTTTTCCTTTGTTCCCTATACAGGAGATGCTCTAATATTTCAAATTTATTTTGGAATCTCCATCTTTTTTTCCCCTTTCATAATAAATCCCCACATCACCCTTACTTTTAACTGCAGGGGCATTTTTTCCCCCAGTGGAATCTGGAGCAAGGAACCTTCCCATTTATCCTTCTCTCTTTATTTCATTCTGTCCATTTAAACAGAAGAATGGAACGCCCTTTAGGAAGTGAGAAAGCCAGATTCAATCTATTTCTCTGCCTGAGGGAATCCATTATTACGAAAATGTCCCAACTCTTTCTCTAGTATAAGCTATCCTAGATGGAACAGGGGAGCACTCTCTAGTCCTTCTGTTGATGTTGTGCTATGATAAAGAAAGGAATTTGAAATGATTAAGCCAGAAAGAGAGATAATACATGAATGCAACTTGATTTTTGAAATACTACTTTGGGAACAAGCAGGGTCTTAGGAAGGATCACAGCAGACCTTGGTTATTGACCAACTCCTAGGAAATATTTCAGCTAACGGTTGTTTAATAAAAAACTAGTTGGGTTCTTAGGGTGCTCATCTAGGGAAAAGCAACTGTAGGTTTGATTTTCTTCAAGGAAAGAAGGGAATCAAACCCAAGGCACTCACTTCTAGACGAAATGCTCTAACAGTCTAACTACTGAAGATTACAGGGAGCTTCTCCTTTGGCTGTGGTTGAAAAGAAAGGAGTAGGGAGTTGTGTCCATAAGCAAATTAATGAACCCAGGCCTGGAGCCCCTGCCTTGATGCGAATGAAACTGGTGGCTGGGCTGAGCCATGCTGAGCATGCACGGTATGGTGGGCCATGGCTGCTGGGTGCCACTCAATCCAATCTGCGCCATGGCAGGGCAAGGGGCTGCCTCCAGAGCTCAGTCCCCGCCATGTGCACATGGCAAGCAGTGGCTCCGTACCCCAGTGATGGCTCCAATGCAGACCTGTCAGTGGAGGGGAGACATGGCTCCTGCTCTCGGCCTGCATCCTGCTCTGGATGCTGCTCCCACTGTGCTGCGTGGGAGCGGAGCCCATGGACAGGGACCGAAGGGGGGGTACAAGGCCCAGGGCCCTAATGAATCTTACTCCACTCCTGATTGTGTCAGTGTGCATTTGTGTCAGTGTTCTTTGAGAACACTTACTGTATCAAGCCCCCCCCCCCCACCTCCCCCACCGTGGTAGGTATAAGTTGTGCATAAAGATGCTCAGCACTGTCAAAATGAGGTGGTTTTGCACATGCCCAGACATGGAGCCTTTAGATGCCTGGAGAATTTTAAGGTAAAAAGTTGAAGCGCCATGAAGTCTTGGGGCCTTCAAAGTTCAGCAATAGCTTACCCAAGCTATCAGGACAGAAGCATGGGAAGCCTAAATTCTACTTGAGCCCCACTTGAAATTTCTAGGTCCCTTATTTTTTAGATCTGGCCCATGTTTGCAGAATCCCAAGTAATGGACTGAAACTTTTTTTCTCAAACTCTGATTTCAATATGACAGAATGCAGGTTTGATTGTGTCAGTATTTTGATTGCATACCATGCATTCGCTCATTTTCTTTTTGTAAAGCCGACTGACCAGATGCTATAGGAAGAAACAGACATATGAATGACTGCATCTCTGAATTTTGAAACATTTAATAGCTCATGCATGGCTTCAGTTTGATATAAGAATATAATATTTAATTGCCAACAGAAATTGTGTGCCCATTCTATTTTTGAAACAAACTAACTGCCTTATCTAGCCTCATCTAGTTCTGGAGCTTGTCCTGCAGAGACAATAATTATAGTAAACTGTTTGATAGCCTTGTGTAGTCTCCAACTCAAGGGACTGAAGTAACAGAAGACTCAACCTAAAAACAAAAGCTGAACATTCAAAAACCACAATGATGCTAATGAGGTAATGAAAGTAAAATATCTCAGTAATTAAGAATGAGGACTGCCTGTTGGCAAACAGCAATGTGTTAATGAAACAGCAACATTTTGTCCTTCAGTAATCCACTTGTAATGAATTCATCTGAAAATCTTCATGCTTACTTTCTGAGAGCAATCAGAAGCAAAAGGAGTTATGCATGGCTACCTTTGTCATTTGGATTTTTTATTTATTTATTTATTTATTTTTTGGTATCACAAGGTAATATGGGAGCAGCCACTCAGATAAACATTCACATTTAAAATTTCCTACTATAAAGGCATATAACCTACATACTTCTGTTAGGTGCTCCAATACTGCAGCAACAGGGCCACATATATGTTGATTAGATTAAGTGGACAGAAAATAGAAATATTTGTCAATGATCTTTCAATCATTTGTCAATGATTCAATTTTGCAAGGTGTTTCTTGCTGATTCATCGTGACAGAGATGTGTTCAAAAAATCATTCAAAATTTTAAATCCTAGAACAACTGAAGTCTATAAAAATGTGATATAATGGCATATGTTTGAAACCTAAAAACATACATAATAGGGCGGTACAAAGCTTCAGGTGCTGATTGAATTTGGAGGAGATTCAGCCTGATTTGGTGGCTGAATCTCCAAATCCAAATTGAATCATGGGACCAATAAAAAGGTCAGTAGTCAAGAATCTTGAAGTCAGTAGGAAGGAAAGATGTTTTCAGTGAAAGACAACAAGAGCAGATTACAAACTAATCAATATTTTACAGAAACCTTTGGTCTCAGTTTTAGTGTCTTGTGTGTGCTAGTAATATGATATTTAAGCATTTAATTCATTCATGACTTAATTATTTACTACCTATATACAATCATTTCCCAAGGATTCAAATAATGGAGGAAACTATTTGTTGCAAACACCTAGTAAAGTCAATGGGAATTAAAGGGAATCAGAAAATTCAGGGTCCGGAGTTAGCCCCATGGGCCATGTTCAGATGAGCGAAGCTGTGCAGTATGTTCAGGTGTTCTCCATGCTGCAAGGGATAAGTGCAGAGGTTTGTTTGGGTTTTTTTGACTCATGGATATCCCATGCCAAAAAAAAGTGAAGTGGTGCATGCAGGGGTTGTATGCACACCATGTGAAACCAAAGCCTGTCCAGCCGGAGCCACTCTCCAGCTGCCAGCCAGGCTCTGTGCAGCATTGTTGCCACTGCTGCAGCCCCAAGGCCCCAGGTAAGGCTGATGGGGCCAGCTCCGTGCTGGCCCCAGCCTCCCCTACCCCACTCTGGTAACTTGTCACATGCCAGAGGCTGCGTGGCACAGGCGTTCCCTGGGGACAACTACTGGCAGCACAAGGTGTCCCACTGATAATTGTTAGGCCTGTGTGAAGCAGCTAGTATTCACTTTGGATTCATCAAATTTGGGGGACAGTGATTTGATTTGGTGATTCAAATCACTGTCCTGAATTGATTCAGATGAATCTGATTCAGAGACTTGGCCACTGCAAAATTGGCCGTATCTGCAAACTGAACAGGCCCCATCCCCTGCCTGCTCTCCCAGTCCCATCAATGGCTGCCCCACCTGGGCCAGGCATCCCAGCACTTAAAAATAAAGGAAGCCCCACACTCACCGGCTCTTGCCAGGTGGGGAGGGCAGTCCCCACTGCTCCCCACTGCCTTGTGCTGCATGGGGGGACTCTGCCATGAGTCCCCAGAGGCCCTGACAGCTGCTGCAGCAGCTAGTGAGTGTGGGGCTGGGTGGGACAGCCATTGATAGGGCTGGGAGAGTGGGCAGGGTTAGGGGTGCTCAGAGTGTCTGGGGGAGCAGGCAGGGGATGGAGCCTGGCAGGGGTCTCCACATGGTCCCCTCCCCTTTCCTTCCTACCCTTTACTAACCGGCATGGAGCCCAGGTCCAGCTCCCTGTGACGGCAAGCGGAGACTGCCCAAATCTCTGAATCTTTTCCAAGTCTTTTTCCAGATTGAATCAGAGGCTTCAAATTGGTTCAGACCTTTTAATTGGTCTCCCAATTGGATTCGGATTGTAGATTTGGCCGCCAAATCAGGCCAAATCTCCTCCAACTCAGTAACCAAAGCTTCACACAGCTCTACTAATTGTTCCTGGGGAAACAAACATCCATGCTTGTGAGGACATGACCATGAGGAACAAGTTGGATGACCAGCTCTTATAAAATACTGAACAACTTTCAAGCTGATCTGACAAGACACAGAACTTCAATTCTGAACAACAAATGGAATTTTACAAATATGATGAAGCTTTGCAGAGCAGTTCTCCTTCCCAACCCCTTCACCCCCACCCAGTGAAGCATAAAGGAACAACAGACAATGGACACAACATACATCCCAGATACCATTCATGACAAAACTTGCCATCAGATCTGGAAGGGCTGCTAATCTTAAAATACTGAGGATTGTGATGGTTTCAGTGTCTGTTTTTGGTATAGAAGTTACTGTAGCAAAACCCCCAGTTTTTCTTTTTTAATACATACACACACACACGCATATACGTGTGTGTGTGTGTGTGTGTGTGTGTGTGTGTAATAGATATGCATTCCCTTCCCTTCCCCAATTATTTCTGGGTTTTTTTTTCTCTCCCTATATGTTCCCTATAGACAAGCATAAGTGAGATCAGACTTAGGATAAGTTTTAACATTTTTATTTTGGTAGCAAGTTTTTGGTTTTGGATATCCACTGTTTTATATTGTATTATTATTAGGTTTGTATTGATTCTTACTGTTGTATATTGTATTATTATCATTTTTGTATTGATGTTTATTGTTTCATATGGATATTGTATGGTTTTGGCCTGTGTTTGTAAGTGAGCCAAAGTAATGTCAAGTTTCCATTTTGTATGTCAAGTCTCTATCTTGTGTCCTCTGCCCGGGCATCCCCTGCGTCGTAACTGTATGAGTCACATACCCCTCCCGTGTAAATTGGTTCCTGGATAAATGAGAGTGATTGGGAATGATTGAAAAACAATGATAGCAGGCCTCTACTGAATGGCCTGTAACAACTGGGCCATCACCTCGCATTGATTCATCCAGAAACCACGGACCTCACCCAGGAACAGAGACAAGAACCCAGCATTTGAAAGACAAAAGACCCTGCAGAACCAGCAACTCTACCATTGTACCCCACCATTACAGACACC